TCCCGAAATCACAAAAGAGTTCCCCTACCGGGTCTGTATACTTCGTGACTTTGTTCCCGGTTACCAGGTCTGTATACACTAACACTTCGAATATTGTACGGACGGATAACCAGTTTTTCGCACAATGGTACCAATAACCACTCCGATGCCTATAATACTAAGGTGAATTTCCCCTCAAGGACGGGCGAATTTCTCGGGAAGATTGAAGAATACCGGACCACTCGTACATTATTGCGTGAGAAAGTGGGGTAGGTGGGGCGGGTGGTTTGGGTGGAGGAGGGGGGAGGGGGGAGTTACCCCCCTGACAAAATTTTAATGAATAGATCTACAGGTCCGAGATTCTCCATTGAGAGATATTAAAAACGGGAAAATTATGAATTCTTAAGGTTGACATTGACGATTTAGTTGATTGAGGCTTTAAGTTTAAGTAGATCTAGAAAGGCCGTCGTTATTCGGACTCGAGTCCGCATAACATTTTTTCATATTCGGACTCGAGTCCGAATAAAAAAATTTCTTATTCGGGCTCTCTAGTCCGAATATGAAAAAATGTTATTCGGACTCGGGTCCGGAAAAAGGGAAGTGTCTTCGTTCTATAGATCTAACATTCAGTGCTTCCAATTTTCCGCCATTTTTTAGTTTCCCCCACACCTTTTCTGCCGATCCGATGCTCGCCGCCTCATTGATACGCCCCCCCCCCACCCCCCCATGTTTCCCACTTTCTTTGTGGTAGAAAAAGGTAAAATTGAAGATTAGCAGACCACCTGGCACCTGCATATTATGAGCTGTGTAAAAAAAAAAAAGACCGATTTGTTCAAATAAACAAGCCTGTGTCATATCGATTGTTTACCAAGAAAAAGTTGTGTTGCTGTGTAGAGCTGAGCATACGGCAACTTTTGATTCCATAGACCAGCGCACAATTCATTACGTAGATCTACGTCAAGACTAGCTTATTATTGTAATAATGATCAGTTGCCGGGGGGGGAAAAGACTGAAATCTAGATCTATTCTAGATCTAGATCTAGATATTGATCTAGAGTCGATGTGCCAGACCGCGGCAGTTTAATGAGGTCAAGTGGCTGTGACTCTTGTGTGTGAAGAAAATAGGAATGACGTGTATGGTCACATGACTGACCCGTTTCTTCTCAGTTTGGATGCTATTGCAGTGATCTCCCTTGATTTGTGTGCCTGGACCAAGTCGAACCGTGATGCCTCTCGATAGCCCGCAGTGCGGCAAGGTGCCGTGACCGCGGCATTTTTTTTTACTGAGCGTGGCAATTATGCCCTCATCGCGGCATTTTGTCTGCCCAGTGCGCGGCATTCCTTGCTATAGTTCTCTGATAATACAGAGAGAAACTTGTGTTACTTGCATATTTTACTTGTTTTTCATTGTTTTCATTCATTCATTTGTTCATGCATTCAGAATGACCACTCATTTTGAAAATAATGAAAATATTTATGGTTCAAAAAACAAAATAAGAAATGAGGTAGTAAAAGGTTTCTTACCCCCCCCCCCCCCCCTCTCTCTCTCTCTCTCTCTCTCACACACACTCTCTCTCTCTCTCTCTCACACTTTCTCTCACACTCTCTCTCACACACTTTCTCTCACTCTCTCTCTCTCGCACTCTCTCATACACTCTCTCTCACTCTATCTCTCTCTCTCTCACACACTCTCTCTCTCAATCTCTCTCACACACTCTCTCTCTCTCTCTCTCTTTCATAATCTCTCTGTCACTCTCTGTCACTCTCTCTCTCACACTCTCTCTCTCACACACTCTCTCTCACACACCCTCTCTCTCTCTCACATTCTCTCACACACTCTCTCACTCTCCCTCCCACGCTCTCTCTCTCACACTCCCTCACTCACACTTTCTCTCTCACACACACTCTCTCTCTCTCACATTCCCTCTCACACTCTCTGTCTCTCTCTCTCATTCTCTCTCACACACACTCTCTCACTCTCTCTCACACTCTCTCTCACACCCTCTCTCTCACTCTCTCTTTCACGCTCTCTCTCTCTCTCTCACACTCTCACACACTCTCTCTCTCACACACAGTCTCTCTCACACACAGTCTCTCTCACTCTCTCTCACACACACTCTCTCACACACTCTCTCTTACTCACTCTCTCTCTCACTCTCTCACACACTCTCTCTCACACTCACTCTTTCTCTCTCACTCTCTCTCTTTCACACAGACACACACAAAATTTACAAACACATGCATGCATTCAAATGAATACAGCAACACAATAAAAAACTGATGACAATTAATGACTGGTTTTCAATACAACATCAATGTTAGGCATCTGTCTGTCAGTCTCTCTCTCTTTCTCTCTCACACAGACACACACATACACATTTACTAACACATGGCATGCATTCAATTCAAATGAAAACAGCAACACCAAAAAACTGATAACAAGGTAACGGGTTTACAATAAAACATCAATGTAAGGTATATTTCTTTCTCTCTCTCTCTCTCTCTCTCTCTCACACACACACACACACACAAACATACACATGTACACCCCCCACACACACACATAAAAACTCTCTCTCTCTCTCTCACACAACCCCCCCCCCCCCCACACACACACACAAATGAATACAGCAACATCAGTAAACTGACTAAAACAATGCAGTACTTTCTTTCTCACTCTCTTGACCCCTAAACCCCTAATGCCGCGGTAAGAGCACTATGACAATACCTTGTACCGCAGCGCGGCAGTATTGCCGTGCTACGGTACATAGTATTGTCATAGTGCCGTTACTGCGGCATTTTCTCTCAACACGTGAAAAATGCACGAATCGCGACATATCATGTTGCATAATCATTTGTAGCCATTTATCCACCAAATAAATAACAATAGACATCATTACGAAAACTCCCTTTTAATATGTGATAAAAAGTGCAAACACACCTGAAAACTAAAAAAGCGAAGTCAAAATTGGTGCGACGGCAAAATTTCTATCCCTGGTTCGAAATTGTCACGTGTTCGCGATGGACTAGTGAGTGATGTGCAGGTATCGATACCAGGTACTCGATACTTAGATACCTATTGGTATCGGTATCGGTACCGATCCCTGCTCCAAACATCTATACCTTTGTGTTATTTATCCCAGGGCTGCCAAAGCAAGTGACATGGGCCTTGAGAATTTTTTGTTTATCTAAACTGATGAGTTTTCGTAGGGGGCAAGCGTTTTAAATTGATCTAGTGATTTTTTAACAAAAAGAGAGAAATTTTTCATGAAATGTTCCAAGTGATTTTGCAAAATCCTCACTGACAACCCTGACTTATCCTCATTGGTTTAATTTAAAGTTGCAAAAAATCTGGTAAATTGAATTGCCTTTTTAGAACTCTTGTGTTTTTATTTTCCAATACTAACATTTTCTGCAAAGTTGACTTTCCTCCCATACTTCACTTAATACCTTTTTGTTTTTATTCTCATATTTGGGTATTTATTTCTCTCTCTCTCTCTCTCTCTCTCTCTCTCTCTCTGTCTCTCTCTCTTTTACAAATAATTTTTGTTTGAGTCTCAGCTAAATAGTCACAACTTGTCTAGACACAATTACCTAAATACTTGGAAAAGTAGAGTTGTAATTTTGTCTTTAATTATTACCCCCCGCGTATGTTACCAATAGCATTAGGTATCGGTATCGATACCTTGAAAAAGTACTAGGTATCGACATCGATACCTAAATTGTGGTATCGGCCCATCACTACGATGGACCAGGAAAGAAAGAAACGGAACAGCGCAAGGGACATCACTGCAGTTTAAAATTTTTAAAAACAAAAGTAGTAGGTGAGAAGAAAGTGGCTATTCTCACCCGCTCGGAAGTTCTCGCAAGATCTACTCCTCCCCTCTTCTCTCTCTCTCTGTCTCTTTCTGAATACTGTCTATCGGTGTGGACGATCAAATTGACCAAAACAAAGTTAAAAAATGATGTTAAAACACAAAAGTAAATTAATTTGGTTGTCTACAAAGATGCTACGGCTATTTAACTTTTCGAATCGAGCCGAACTATGCGGGTCGCCATTTTGTTTTGTTCTCTCTCTTTCTCTCTCTCTCTCTCTCCACTGCCCACAGACAAAATTGTACGCTTTTAGTAGGCTACAAGTACAGTTGTAATGGAACGTTTGTTCACAGCACAGAATTCTACAATTTTTCTGTTATCACAGTGTAGAATTCTGTGGTTTAGGGTGAACGCAAAATTTGTTGGCCTAGATCTAGGCTATAACGGTGAACGCGCACCGGGTGAGAATAGCCAAAAGACTCGCCTGCACTATTCTCACCCCGGGTGAGAAGAGGTGGCCAGGTGAGAAATTGCCGAAACTAGACCAACTGCCGCGCTGAGGGCACCGCCGCGCTGAGGGCACCGCCGCGATCTGGCACATCGACTGACTTCTAGATCTAGATCTAGATCTATATATCTAGACCTAGATCTAGATCTAGATCTAGATCTAGAGATATAGCTAGACTCTAGAGAGCCTGTTCAACTAGCCTGGGCTATCTGGTAATGAACGACAATAATGCATGTTGAGACATAGGCAAAATCAGTCCCCTGGTCCGGTATTCTTCAATCTTATCAATTTCTCTGATATGGTGTCGAAGTTCTCCGTAACCACATCAACTTGAAAAAAAGAACAAAGAATTACCTGACGCAGATAGGTTTTGAACCATAGTCACGTACTGCTCTAAAGCGGTCGCCATCTTGAGATCTCTGAAGAAAAAAGCAACCAGCTTAGAAGATCAACGATAAAGTTTGGCGTTGTATTCTCCTAAGAAGAAAACTCTAATCAAGAATGCAGGTTGAACAAAAATCGATGACAAATATCAAAACAATTTTATTCAGAATCACAAAAACTGTTTATTTGTATAATAACGAAAGAGTTTGGTTAAGGCTGTAAGCGCAGTATTATGTTATTGTTGATGAACAGAAGCTGTAGGTTGACTGCAGTTGACTGCTAGACTAGTGCGACAACAAATTTTGTGTGAGAGGGTGGATCACTGTGGAGAGGGTAGCAGCACTCTTAACTTGTGGAGGTTCTGCTTGGCTTAGATCTAGATATTTAGATCTAGATCTAGATCTAGATCTAGTCTAGATCTCTAGATCTAGATTCCAGAAACAATCAGAGTTCTTTGAATTTGAATTTGAAAGAATTTAACTTTTAACCTTTACGTTTTAAGACCGACAGAAAGCAAGTCCATGGCCCATGGCAGGAAAAAATTCCTTCAGAAATCACAGCGAACGCAAGCTGCTTGTACTTGTTGATATGGACCAGGTGTTGTGTGATTTTGAGATGCGCCTTTTACAAGAGTTTCAAAGCAGACACCCAAATGACCCATTCATTCCTTTGGAGGAGAGAAGAACCTTTTATGCCCGAGATCAGTACGCAAAAATAAGAGCTGACTTAGCAGTGAGTGTATTTTTTAAAAAAATATTAGATCTCTAGAAATCTAGTCTATTTCTAGATCTAGAATCTATTAGATATCTAGATCTAGAGTCTAGATCTAGATTCTAATGTAAAATCTAGAATTCTTGTAGATCTAGATCTAAATAAGATGTATTAGATCTAGATCTAGATCTATACTAATAGCAATCGAAGTGACTATTCGGACTCGAGTCCGAATATGAAAAAATGTTTTTCGGACTCTGATTCTTGTGTCTTGTCCAGCATGACATCACTTCCGACTTCCTGTGACTCATGACTCCGGCTTCCTGTCCTGCCTCACTCGTGACTCGCCTCAGGCTGGGTAGAGACCGGGATCACTTCGGGCAAAATGGCGTTAAATTGTGCAGGAGCCAAGTTTTTATCTTATGATGAATTTGAGGCCGGCCTGAAAAGTTATAGCGCTTCTAATAAATGTTTATTTGTCAAAAGGTCATCAGAAGCAATTAAAGATGGCTCGTTAGCGTGAGTCGGGGTCGGATGGGCGGCCTGCACACGTGTGGCTGTGTGTGCATGTCGGGGAGGGGGGGAGCACTATGGGTCCGGGCGTTGAATGTCGCATATGTGTCAGTCTCTCCCCCCCCCGGCAACTGATCATTACAATAATAAGCTAGTCTTGACGTAGATCTACGTAATGAATTGTGCGCTGGTCTATGGAATCAAAAGTTGCCGTATGCTCGGCTCTACACTGCAACACAACTTTTTCTTGGTAAAACAATCGAGATGACACAGGCTTGTTTATTTGAACGAATCGATCTTTTTTTTTACACAGCTCATAATATGCAGGTGCCAGGTGATCTGCTAATCTTCAATTTTACCTTTTTCTACCACAAAGAAAGTGGGAAACATGGGGGGGTGGGGGGCGTATCAATGAGGCGGCGGGCATCGGATCGGCAGATAAAGTGTGGGGGAAACTAAAAAATGGCGGAAAACTGGAAGCACTGAACGTTAGATCTATAGAACGAAGACACTTCCTTTTTTCCAGACCGTGTCCGAATAACATTTTTTTCATTCGGATTTGAGTCCGAATTTGAAAAAATGTTATTCGGACTCGATGACGGCCCCTTCTAATACTGTAGTCTATATACTTTCACATGTCTCATGTTCAGTTATCAGTTATGCAGTGACTATGTCAAGCGCCATTTGCCGATCAGCGCGATCTTACGATGGCGCAGAACCATATGACGATCCGCCATCTACGGATTATTTCCGAAAATGAATAGAGCTGGGCGATCTTAAGATTGTGCAAAGCAAGCAAGAATTGTGCCATCTGCCGATCGCACACAAACACATACAACACATTATTATATATATATATATACACACATAGAGGCGAGAGTGGCAAAGAAAGAGAGAGAGAGAGGGAGAGAGAAAAAGAAAGGCTGTATGGGCAAGTGATACTTGCGTCCTCTTGAACCTTTTTTTTTTTATTTTTGAAATTAATGATAATAAATTCTGCGGAGTTTTGTTTGTGAACTTTGCAAAATCGTTTGTTTGTGTGTGATGGCGCGTCGCGCCCATCTCGAGATGGCCACGCTTTCTGCTGATCGTCATATGGTTCTGCGCCATCTTAAGATCGCGCTGATCGGCAAATGGTTCTTGACAACGTTCATAGCACCCTGAATCCTCCACCGTTGTCACAGAGGCTTGACTGAAACGCTACGGTTGCTCAAATTCAAATTCAAAGTGAATGTGCATAATAATGTAGCAGTGGTCCAAATGTAACAGAATTTATGGAGGGCGAAGGCAAGCACAGCCAAACAGTCTCGGTCGACAAGGCCTCGCTCGCTCACAGCGAGGAACACGACTTCGATCCTTTTCCCGTGTTCGGACCCGGCAACGCTCGACAATTTGAAAATAAAAGTCGTTAGAAGAAACAGATGGAGAATGGATCTAAGGCCTAGGCAGGAAGAGGGGTGGGAGAGGGTGAAAAAAAGAAGAAGCAAAAGGGAGGTTGGGGGTGAAGTGAGCAAGATCATTCTTAAATTGCAAACTACATTCAGGGCTCTGTAAACGTAGCCACTGCGTAGACCGTATCAGTTATATTCCAAACTGCACTTTTCTATCATTTTTTTATGTTTAACATGAATTTTGACTTTTTATATATATAGAGATCTAGATTCTATCCATTATTATCCTTTGCAAATTTATTAGTTTTGAAAGAGATCTTTATAAAAGAGTTTTACGAGTCTCACAACTGCATAGGTCATATGAGCGCGCGGGACACATTTTCAGTTGGTAGAAAATTTTGAATTTTGCCCAGGTGGCAGCCGAAGCCTACTCTTATCAATTTTAGACCACCAAAGGATCTTTAACGTGCGCAACTTGCACACAGGGACTTCCCGGGTTTTTTCCCCCTTTGACCAAAAAGGCTAAAGGTGTAGTTCTTTCCTACCAGAAGATCAGGGGTGTGGCGGAAAGACAAAAGTAAGAAGGAACCAACCAAGGAGTGGCAGTAGAGAGAAATATTATTTAATTGATCAAAATAGAAGGTTTCAATTGTCTATTAATTCCATAGTAGTTTGTGTGTTTTTAACCTAGGGGAGTTTGTATCATCCTTACAATGCTTCTCTATACCTGACTTAGTCAGTCTCTTCAGATCCAAGTTGTTCTGTGCCAAGAATTTGTGCAAGTGGCCTCGCAATCAATTCCTTGTTCATTCACCTGATCTCTGAATATATCTGGGGAGTCTCAGTGGGTCACCCCCTGTATTTCACCATAATTTGATGTTTTGCTAAATGCTTCATTGATTTGCGACAGTTTTAGCAGCCATTGTACAAAGGTTTTGTTACCCAAAATACATCTGTTTAGCTCCCAAAAGCTGTGTGTTTGCGTGCATGATACATGAAAGTGAAATTGTACTTTTTACTCTTATTTTCAATCTCATAATTATAAAAAAAATTCATTTGTTCATGAAATTTTAAGTCTTGAGTAGAATCACCAAACTCCAGCAGCATTTTTGAATTTGTTCACTGGCGGGTGATGTAACACTTTTATTATGTCTCAGGTTAAAAATTCTCTTATTTCGGTGTCTGGGCTTTCAATATGATTGAATAGGATGGCCTGTTATACAGAGTAGTGTTTTGAATGTCCATAGGACAATGCATAGTGGTTGACAATCTATTTTCATAAGGTCAAAGCTATTGCATTTTATAGAAACGGTTTTGAATTGATACTCTTGTTTTTATTAGGAGGGGAGTCAAGGTGACTGTTAACCCACAGACTGTTATAGTGGCCAAGAGGATCTGCCTTTGAATGCTAAAAAAGTGTCAAGGCCTTCGATCTGCCGAAATTGGTCTCATTGACAATGGCAGAAGTCACAAGTCATCTTAACACTTATTATAATTATTTAGACTCCTGTTTTGCTTTAGAAATATTCTCCTGTGCAGATGCATATCTTCTGGTCATTGTCGGACATTGTTGATTGATTGACAAACTATTAAAAATAAAACAAATTATTATTATTTTTATTATAGTATGAAAAGATACTAAAACCTATTTAAAGATTTCCTTACACAGGTGTGAGATTTGCTAATTTAGAAATCCTTTTTTTCCTGTGTACTAGGACAACATCAGAGACATTTACAACTCGGAGGGCTTCTTTCGAGATCTACCAGAAATACCTGGAGCTTGTGATGCAATGAAAGAGTTGAAGGAAATGGAAGGGTGAATATTATGATAGAGATTAGTCCTTTAGTTTCTTGTCACTTATCCACAATGGAAATGGCTTAAAGAACAAAGCACTCCAAAACGCAAAGTTCACCATTAAAAAAAATATTGTAAAGGAATTGATGAACAGATTAGTTGACCTTTTTGTTTATTTTCTATTTGACATTTAATTTTCCATCCCTGTAACATTTAAACAATATTTAATTTCTTTCATAGAGTTTAAAAACTAACAATTTTATTCTGGACTCCCTTGAGGCAGTGCTCTGCATGCCCTCCTTTGGACTCGACACACTTTTAATGCGTAGTTCGAAATGTTCAGTGGCACCCAAACTCAAGGACCTGCTAAACCTTGAGTGTTTAAAGCCACATGCACTGTACATATTCAGTTTGAAGTGGCTTCCAGAGACAATACAGAGTGTGCTGCCCAATAGACAGCAATTTTGGAGTCAACATATCCTGCAGGGTGAAAATGGGCTTTTCACTTAACCAAATGTCTTTGAGGAAATGAATCCGCTTTTCAAGACAATCGAGGAACCATAAACACATTATCATGCTTTGATCCATGTCATCTCGGCCTAGCGAAGATGAATATGGTACGGTCATAAATTAAGATTTGCCATGATAATGTAGACTGTTGAGGAGTACGAATGTCTGAGCTGCAGATCGTCTACAGATAGTGGTTTTTTGAGACTAGACTACTGAAATCTGCACTTTGGTGACGTTTTAAGGGCTGCGCATGGTGCGTGTTTGACCAGAAGTGGTCATTTTTTAGGAAATCTTTAGGTTTGATTCGCTGTAGATCCAAACTGACGGAACTTCTCTACTCATGACACAAAAGGTCTTGCAGGCATTCTTTCAATGCCGTGCGCAGAACTTACGAAATGTCAGGGATGGTGGGTTTGTGGAGATGTAATGTTCAATACGAAAAACTGTGAAAAATAATATCTGTAGACTACTCTTGACTAGTTACACTGCTGTAGCTTGTAATATGGCGCGACTGTTGCAACTTTTAGTGGGTGGCCTAATGCAAACTGGTACATCATACTACGAAAATTGGGAAAAGGTTGAAAACGAGTTGTTGTTTTTTTTTAATGCGCCATATAGAGCAAAACCATTCAATGGACCTATCTAAAATGAATATCAGACGAATTCCTTTTGGCTTTCAAATATTACGTTCAAATCTGAAAAGCAAAGCTTCAGTATATAGGAAGATATTTACAAAACAAGTTGTACAGTTGTTTTTTCGATCACCTTGTAATTGGCAAAGCATTCTAGATCTTGTGACCTTGATATTCAATCAAATGCCCTTTCACTCATTGTTATAAGTTTCATAGACCTAGATTAGATGGTAAAAGAGATTTCTTTTTGTCAGCTGATGACTTTAAACTGCGAGTTGGTATGTACAGTCTCAACATATTTGATAAATGTGAGGGCATATTATCATTCAAGCATTTGTGACATAGGGTGACCAACTTGTATACAATTTTTTTCTCAACAGGAAGCTAATGCAATGTCAACAAAAGAAGTGTAGCAGAGTCTCACTTTCTTTTCCGTAATACGAAACGTGCAGCATTGTTTTGAACAGTTTGAAGTCTTTTAACTTTGTCCAGTGACATTCCTGATAACAGGGAGTTACAATAATCGAGTCTTGATAAAACTAAGCTAGTTACTAGTAAAGCAGTATACTTAGTATTGATTAGATGATGTAGTTTACTAAAAATTTTTATTTCTAAATACATGCAGCCGATCAAATGAATTCTGAATTTTTATTTTTTGTCATAGGTTGTAAAGGGAAAGATGCACTCCAGCTGCGCTATCCTTGTGAGAATGGCTCTCATACGTTATATATGTAACATATCTATGGCGAGATGGATAGACAGAATTATGTCATGATAAAAATTGGATCACCTAGTTCACTTGAATGTTTGCCGTGATGATGCAGGTTACTGTATAGTCCTGTCTGAGGGTCAACTGCGATTTAAAAAAAATTATTTTGATATATTTGTTACTGTAGACTAAATGGTGTGTATGCTGTAATCATTGTTCTTTACATACCGTATTAAGTTATTACAGTGGGTGCCGCATTCAACGAGGTCACATTCAACAAGAAGTCAGCTCCAACAAGGCAATCCTTTTTGTCCTCTATATCCCTTTGAAAATGTACATCGGCTCCAACGAGGTTGCAAACAGACCGAAGTCGCTGTCAACGAGGTCACGATAACCAAAAAAAGCAATTAGTGGCCCCAAAAGGGAAGAATTTTTCTCCTTTCTCTCCATCTCATGCGAAGCACAAGGCCCCTCTTTGATTCCTAACACATTGTATTGCTAGATCTAATGTGCCTCGTAATACAGGCCCCAAAGTCAAGAGGGTGGGCGAGGGTTAGCCTACGGTAGGGAAGAGAGGGGGAGGGATGGGAGCGCGATACAGGCTGTATGAAACTGGATGAACTCTGGACGGGTAGGGCTAGATCGAGACCTTCATTTTTGTTTCAATTTTCTTTTCTTCCCCTGATCAGAAAATCCAAACTCCCGCCTTCACTTTATGTTGATCTAGGCCTAGACGTGAGAGGGTATGTTTCCACACGAGAAGTGGTCCGGAAAAAAATATTTTAAAATGCAGAAATGACGGTCAGAACCCAACTCAAACACGCACACACTGATGCTGTTTGAGATTTTCATCATCAGAGGGAACAACGGTTTTAATTACTGGTATTGGTACATCGTGTAATATAATAACTGGTCTCCTTTCTTTACTTTAGCCTCAGTCACGTTCAACGAGAGGTCGGATCCAACGGCAACCTCGTTGAATGCGACACCCACTGTAGTAGAATTATAATTTTTTATTCTGTTTTTGGGTTGTTGGGTTTTTTTTTAGGGTGGGAGTTCTAATATGTAATTTCTCCAGCGCTTACAGTTTCCTTTCCCACTGCATAGAAGCATAGAAGATTCAAAACTAGAGATTACATTAGTCACCACTTAACTGCTTTCGAACATTCTGTGGACTATTCTCATAGTGGAAAGGGGCATATTCGCTCTCCGCATGACTTCTTGTACCTGTAAACTGATGTATGGGTGTGACATGTTCCGGTATAGAAGAAATGCGTAGCATGGGTGGCAATTTTTTTTTAAAATAGTTTATGAGGGCTACGTGTTGCCTACATAATAACCTACACCCATCCCCCCCCGAAAAAACAAAGAACAAACAACCAAAACAGAACAAAAAAACCCTTATTCAGCTATCTGTTTCTTGCTACGGTAATTGATCTGTAGAATTGATGAAGGGTTGGCTTTGTTTTCCCAATTTTGGTTCTTTTTCATTCAATTCAGCTTCAGTCATGTCTTTGCTAAGTACAATAATATCTGTGTATAAATTATAACTGTAATAGATATTCTGGATAAAGGACATAAGTAGACCTGTGAATTTCTGTTAAACATATTTTAAATTCTAGATCTATGTGGGTAGTTAAAGGGTGCCACTAGTAGGCCTGACTTCTTATATTCCTTTCAGTTATTTCTGTCTGTCTTACTTTTTTCTCTGCACTGAATGACTTTTAAATTTGGGGGGAGGGGGGGTGTTTTAATTATATTTTTATGGTTATATGTAGTAGCCCTTTTGTTATTTAAGCTCAAAGGGGGGTTGGGTAATTTAGGCAACAAGCCCATATAAAATCAAATGGAAGTGTTTATTGGAGCTACATATTAGCAAATGTAAAGTAACCACTTTTTTCCCCAGTGAATAACTTGCATTTTTTTTCTAATTTCTCCCCAGTGTTGATGTGTTTATTTGCTCAAGCCCCTTGACATCATATGAATTCTGTTTGAAGGAAAAGGTAATGCATATCACAGTAGTATCAATACAGTTTGGTGATCAGGAGTAAGATTATAAGAGAGGATGAAAGAGGTTATTAATGGAGAACAGCTGAACTTGAGATAATATTGTAGTTGGAAAATGGGGGGGGGGGGGGAATTCAAGTGTATCAGCCCTTTTCAACCATCTCCAGGAAGTGGGATATTGTTGATTGATGGGTTAATTTAGTCTATTCTTTTTGTTTATGGAGAATACTAGGCTTACTGGCAAAATACTGCTTGTTTTGTTTGTCTCAATACATTTAACGTTTGGGTTTTGTTTGCTTATGTCCATGGTTGGGTTTTTTTGTTTCTATTACTTAGTGTTACCCTTGTTCAGGTAGGTTGTGACAAACAGTAGTGTGTGCTCTGGAAAATGCTAAAATTAAATTATCAGTGTAGCACAACTTTGTAAATTGTTCTTCCCAAATATCTTGAAGTCACGCTGGGGGCCCCTTTTTAGGTTCCTTGCTCATTGTATGCTTGCATGTGAAAGTCCTTGTTAATAAAATGGCTTGTTCTTAGATGGAATTATTTTCAAAAAGAGACTCTGACTTATAACTTCTTTTGAGGATCACAAACCAACCATTGCATACTTGCAGCCAGGGATAAAAGAAAGCTCTTCAACTTTAATTAAGCATAAGTGTTTAATTTGAAATCAACATAACCATTGGACTTTAACAAATGTAATGAAGGAGAGTTACTGAGACCTGAGAAAAAACATAACCAAAGATCAAAACTAGTTGAGTTGACTATACATCTAACTATGAGAGACGTTGACTTGGTACTTGATCTCTATCTTGTAGTCGTTGGGATTGAATCTATTACTTCAAAATGAATTGAATTGTGACCCAGATGTTGCTTAACTTCAACAAATACTGAACAAGAAATGTAGGCCTACAGATGTATAATATAAAGTTACATTCATACTTTTGTTGCCCTCCAGTTTCAGTGGATAGAGGAGCACCTCGGCCAGGAATGGCTGGATAAGATCATCTTGACCAAGGATAAGACTGTCGCAAACGGGCATGTTCTCATAGATGATCGACCAAACATCAAAGGTGTGCATTGCAAGTTTTCTTTACCGTGCTCATTTGGCTTGAGTTTCATGGTGTAACGTCATCCTTATCTTGAATATATGACTATTGTTAGCTACTTTAAAGTACTTTCTGCATTGTCATCATGATCAAGTCCAGTGCCAATTTGTGGGTTTTTTTTCAGTTGTTATGGTCCTAAGCATAATTCGTCTTTTTTAAAAATTATTGGATTGTGAGTGGTTGGATTTACTTTTTCTAAATGCGAGCTGCGAAAAATATGACATGAAGATCAGTATTAGCAAGACCGAAGTCATGACAATTAGCAGGAGACCAGGCAAAGTGGATATCAACATCAATGGATCCCAACTAAAACAAAGCAGAGAATTCAAATACTTGGGCAGCATTTTCACAGAAAATGGAAAATTAGATCGAGAAATAAAGACTAGATGCCAGAGAGCCAACGCAATCAGCTACCAACTAGGCCCTCTCGCCATTTTCTTTCCAACGCTCACATATCAGCGCCAGACATGGTCCCTAACAAAAGCCCTAGAGAGGAAACTGGTCACATGCGAGATGAAATGCTTAAGAAGAGCGGTCAACGAAACAAGAAGAGACAAAATTAAAAATGAAGTCATAAGGGACACCGTAGGAGCAACACCGGTCCTACCACTCATTGAAAAACAAACAGTCAAGTGGTTCGGACACCTCACGCGAATGCCCTCAAACCATCCAGCTCTGAGAGCATACAACACTAAATATTCTGGATGGAGAGCCAGAGGAAGACCAAGGCGATGATGGAGTGAATCTGTGGCAGACACCCTTAGAGCTCACGGAATGTCCCTCCTACAGGCCACACACCTTGCTGCAGACAGACGCCTGTGTCTCCCCGCGACACCCCAGGGTACAAGCGGAAGAAAAAAGCAAAGTAAAGTAAGAGTGGTTGGAGGGCACCACTGTGGCACGGTACAATCATTAATGTGTCGATGTACTTCTGTTTGCTCAAACTGAAATAGTGGATTAGCCTGAAAGTTCTCTCTGTCAATTTTTCCTCTTGTATCACTGTCAGCAAAACATTAGCTTCTTGCATATAGGTCATTAAAAATGTTCTGAGTTTTCAGCACAACAAGTGTTCTATACAAATTTTGTATAACAGAGCAGTTAAAGGGATGACAGTTCAAGACCAGTCCCAATCTTAAAGCCCTGTTCTGGTTTAATAGCCCGAAATCATAAAAGGGCAGGTGGGCTTTTTTGTTGTTGTTGTTGAATGTGGGTATGTTGAGTCACCCTGTGATTTTAATTGTCAGATCCTGTTGGTGTAACACGTTTTATATGTGTTGTGTTAAAACAATATATTTTCCTCCTATTTCGTTACAGGTGCTATTAGAAAACCTATATGGGAGCATGTGGTATTCACTGCTTGTCACAATGTCCACTCTGACATTCGAGGAAAGAGACGTCTGGATAACTGGACGGACGGAAGTTGGAGGGATCTCATTCTGGACCTTCAGATGAGAGTTTGACCACAGCTAGTCTGTTAGGACAGGAGCCCTCTGCAAGTGACCTTATGATAGATCAAGCTGAAAGAGTACAGGTTTTTTTTCATCCTGCTTATTTTCAAAAGAAGAAATTCAATGCTATTATTTTATATTTCAGTGATCAGACCTGCTCAAATCTACTTGTTTTGAGAAATCAGCTCTGTAGCTGTCAAGTGCCATCTAATGACTTTTATTTTTCTTTTTAAACTTTACTCTGTTGTAATTTGTTGATTGACCAAATGCATACGTGATTATAATTTTTCATGAGCCAGGTCTGTAACGGATATTGACGGTCACAGTTGGCCACTTGATTTCTTTGTTGATTTATAGACAGGATGTAGGCTACATTATAAATCTATCACAAGTTCAGATTTTTTAAAACATTGTTCTGATTCTATATATGTATTGATAACTGGCTCTTCCTTTATGACATTTTTGTGTTGCTGAAAAGTAAAATGTTTTGTTGTTATTTTGATAAAAATTTACATACATTCCATTTGTCTCTGCTGTGTATGTATCATAACAAACTAGGAAAACAATTAGATTACAGGGTCAGCTTATTTGATTCTTTGACTCTCCTTCCGTCATTGGGTCAATTTAATCAGCTTTAACTTTGCCCTTAATTGCTGTTTTGATTCTATTCTTCCACTTTTCAAATTATTGAGTCAGTTTGTTTCCAAGCAGGAGTGCCCTACTCACACTGAAGTAGAACAAAAGAAAAAATGTGTGAAATTGTGCAGCATCACATAATCTTCTCTAAGCAGATCTGTAGGGTGAGGTTGTTCGCATGATGTTTCATGAATTCCATCTCCAGTTGATCCCTCCTGTCACTGGACACCAGACATGTACATTTTTTATATGATCTTCTCCAGTGAACCATAAGACTGTTGGACACAAGACTTCACACAGAGATCTTTAGCATGTGTAAGGGTTTTGTCTTGGATATGTAGCTTCTGGGTAATATGAGCAGCCTCTGGTCAGAAGAATCTCAAGTCAGAGTTTTTTTAAAATACTGTCATCCTTTGAGCTTAGCTTTTCATCCCTGTTCAGTTTACTGATATAGGCCAACTCCCTCACCTCTGTACCCACCACAATGTCTTGCCTGTGCTTTTGGTTTGATTGTGCACCATGCTGAAATTCAATTATCTTTAATTTTTGCTGTCAGTGATGGCTTTCGGTTTGACTAATCTTATCGGGCATCTTGGGAGCGCTGTGTGATCAAATCATCAAAAAAATGTGCAGAAAATCCAGCAAGGCTCCTGCAGCCCACTCTGTCTCTACCCAAACTCGGAGGTCCAGCCTTTAAATAACCTAATAGTGTTGATAGGGGCTTTAAACATATACCATTTCACCATTTTTTCCTGTCTCTTCTTCGAGCTCTTTGTCAAAATGATAAAAAATACCCATCAGTATTTCATCCACATTTAACTATTTTGACACTTACTTTTGAATGTCTCTATTTGGTAACAATGGGCACCTCTTTACTACATGATTTTCTTTATGTCATTTAATGAAAGGTACAACTCTATGGTGCTTGCCTATCATTAAAGACACATTATCACAGCCACATGCCACACTCTTCTCCCAAGAGGTCTGGCTTTTTTAAATCTCAGCGTCATAGATGTTGAATATGTTCTCTGTGATTGATAAGTCTGTTTGGACTCCCATCAGCTCAGTGAGAACGTTTTCTGTACCTGTCACCCTTCAAATTCCCTGCCACATGATGCACAAGATCAGTCCTGCCGTTATGACGGATTCCTTCCCACTCCATGACACTCCTGCCCCCAAACGGCCGACGTGTTGAACGCAGTTGGGAGCATAAAGGCCAATTCACATGTAGTATGTAGCGATGTGTGGTGACGGAGGGCGACGGCACGGTGGCGGTTTGCAGATATTCCACAGACTTTAATGTTCACATGATTGCGGTGTTTGTGATCAAAAGTGTAGCGCGGTGTCCTTGTTTTGTGGTAAGGCAGCGTCATACAAGGATGGATTTTGCCGAACGAGTTCAATAAGTTTTTCATAAATTGCATCTTGGCTTCAAGAAACCTGACAGTATTTCCTTCAGAAAGTCCGTAAGAATGAGTTTCAGGGTATGGATCAGTGGTTCTCTTTTGTGGAGAGATTCGTTTGCGTTTTCAAATATTCTTATGGAGAACAAAAGAAAATGAGCATAAGCTCTGCTCATGTCACTGTGCAGCAGTCTCTGAATTGCTTTCACTCTCTGTTCCTCCGTCTTCTTTCCTTTGGTCTCTTCAGCCTTTTTTTCTTTGCTTTCTTCTGTCTTCTTTCCTTTACCCTCCTCAGTCTTCTTTTATTTACTCTCCTCTATCTTCTTCACATCTCCAACCCTGCTTCCTGTGCTTTCTGTCTTCTTTGGAATTTTGTAACTCTTGGACTGGTGGCTGAGTTTAGGCTGGTCTGACTTCTCTGTTCCCACCTCCTCAGGGACAACCAACAAGTGCACATGTGCTTCAGCACTTTTCTCTCCTCCTCTCCACATTCTACTTGGATTTCTTTGAGTCTGTGCTTTCTGTTTACACTTCCTTCCATGTAGTAGAAAAGATCAACCAGAAGGGAATTCACTGCCACTGGCAACATTGTCGCTGCATTTTGTTCTTCAATGTTTATCGGATGGCAAGGGCATCCAAGGGCTATCATGTGCTGCTGTCTTTGTCGAAGAACTGAAATGACTCCCTGGTTTTTTGTTAACATAACTGTGGCATTGTCAGGTCCCATAGCAACACAGTTTCCTGTTGACGCGTACAATTTCTCCAAATCAGAGATCATCAGCTCACCAAACCAATATTCACTCCCGTTGAACCTAACTCCAGACTGGGCACATACACAAGCTGCAATTTTATTGACTTGGTGTCCTTATCTGGAAAGAATTGGGTACAGCTTGGAGTCAGATGTGTGGCTGATATAGCAAAAGGCAATTGTCGAAGCTTTGAGCTGACTTCAGTCTTGTCCTGTGGTGCCATTTCGTTCCTGATGCAGGTTGTTTTGGTCCTCCCTGAAGCGTACTTCTTTGTCTCCTCACTTTTACTTTTAGGGAAGGCTTTCCTAAACAGCTGGGCGATGTAATCTACAGCTGACAGAGGCACATTATGCTCAATGGAGGACGCAGTGAATAAGCCCCCAGCTCTGATGATGTCATGATCCTCATCAACTGACCAAGAAAAGAAAGATTTCAATGAAGAAGACTGCTGGGCAGCACGATCTAATTCTACAGTTCTCACATGGACACTTGATTCAATGTGCTGACTGATGTCACTATGTCCTCCAAGAGAAATATTGATGTCCTTCCGACACAGCTTACAGAAAGCATGCAAAGTTGAACGCATCTGTGTACTTAGAGCTGAAGTGATTTTCTCTGCGTTTCTTCTTCGCGGATGGAGGCTGAAGGGAAGGTGCTGACATTTCACACCACGTCCACAAGATTACAACTCCGTTGTTGACTGGATCTCTAGACTAGATTGTAGAGTTCTAGAATATCTTTATTAAACTTAAATTTCAAACGGGTAGGATTGCACATCCACAGCACAGTCACAATTAAACTCAATGGCACAAGACAAAAGCTGAGAGACTGTGATAGTGCCAGAGCTATGGCATGACTGCATGATGGAGTTGGAGCCCGAAAAAGTGCCAGAAGGCTTGCAGTATCACTCTCTGTCATTGTCCGCCTGAGTCAGCGCCATCAAGCCACTGGGTCAGTCCAAGAACGCCCGCTGGCAGGTTGACCCAATACATGACAACTCAGAGTGTTTGCAAGTGGTCCTTAACTTATGCTGAAGTCTGCAGATGGTGCAAATGTAACACAAGGAAGTTCAAATATCAAAATAACGCTATGAATGTAACAATAGAGAGTTCAAGTACAAGTCCAGCATTTATCATTCCCATTTGTAGCATCCATATTCTGCTTATGTTACTTTTGCCTGTTTTGAAAACCAGTGAAAAAATGATCCATATAATAATATGTTAAAAGCGCTGGGCTTTATAGTGTGTACAATGTATAAGCTTTGTTTGATCAGTGTCTGTGTGATTAGCGTTAGAGGCAAATTTTTAATGAGTATAGGATAGGCCATGCTGAGTTGTTTTCAGCATATCTCCTGAAATTTAGATCTATATCAACTATATGTACAATACCAACACTTTGCCCTTGTGTTTCTTCCGATCCAAAATTGTTATCGTCTATGAGCAGACTCACGTGTCACATTTTCTCATTTGCATTGCAATTCTTGTACTTTAGTGAAGGTCAAAGGTGCATTTAAGAAGAATACTCTGACTGATTTTAAAAAATGCTGAGTATGACAGTCATAATGAATTCAATTGTGTGTAGTCTGGGAAAGTTCAAATGAATTTTAGAATTAAACGGCCATGTCTGTGGAACTAGATTCTAGAAAGACTTTGAATGAATAGAATGGGACGAGTGAAAAAGATTCTGAATAAAATGCTGTATTTTTATACATATATTTTTTTAAATATATGTATTGATTAAATGCTGTGTCCGAGTTTATTTGTTCGAGTTTGAAGAAGTATACTTTACCTCTAACTCTAACCTGTCTATGTCCACATGAAGATACCTGACAACATAGATACAAACACAATCCAGCGTATGTGGTACCAGTATAGCCGATAGACGCGGAGTTTGATTCCTATGGGAAGAATTTTTATCGAGTATATATATTACCGTACATGATGTACTGTATTATAGAATCTACCATGTATCTCTCAGTCTTACCGCTGGGAATTTTTTTTTATCCCGTAGTCTCAGCCCGCATTGGACCAGACAGGCAAGGTCAAAACCTGCTTCCTAAATCATGATCAGAATTACGTTGATGGGGACGTAAAGCACCTACAGTTTTTTCTTTTGGTTTTGTCTTGGTAAGTGTTTTACGGAGCTTGCAACTGCATAAGGTCCCATGAGCACGCAAGACACAAGCATTTACAGTGTGGTAGAAATTAATTTTGAATTTTGCCCTGGTGGCGGCCGAAGCCTACTCGTCGATTTTAGGACCACCAAGAGATCTTTTACGTGTACAACTTTAACACGGGTCCTCCGAGATTTTTTTTGGCCTTAACCCGAGAGAGCTAGGTGTTCGATCCTACCTACCCCAAGATCAGGGATGTGGATGACAGAAGGAGCCAGGAGAGTAGCAGTAGAAAGGCAGCAGAGAGAGAAGCCCAGAGGAGGGGGCAAAGGGGGAGGAGGGGACGGTGCAGAAAGTGGAGACAAAAGCAGACGACAGAACATAATTAGAGAGCAGGAAAGGAGGTGAAAGGTTCTGAACCCGGGACCTATTGAATAAGAGGCGAACACCATACCTCTCAACCACAAGTGTCCCCGCACCTAGGAAACATCACAATGGTGGCAGTGATAGAACAAGGTAATCGCACACCACAGCGACATAGACAGTAAAACAAGGTAGTCGTGCATCACAGCTACATTGACAGTAAAACAAGGTAGTCGTGCATCACAGGGACATAGACAGTAAAACAAGGTAGTCGTGCACCACAGCGAC